AAAAAAATGTTGGAAGAAAAAAAAGAAAAAAAAAAAAAAAAAAAAAAAGAAAAAGAAAAAAAAAAAACATTAGAAAAACAATAAGGTCTTTCCTAACGGAGTGGAAAGACCTTAAAAACTAGTATCTCAATTGTTAGAAAAACAATTGAAAGGTCTTTCCTGCAAAAGGGATGTTTTTGTAATGTACTCTTTAAGACCTTTCATTTGATATACGACAAGCATACCTTCTAAAAATTTTCACTTTTACACTTAATGACCCCATCCGCCTACATTTTTGATATCGAAAGTATGATATATGTAATGTAGACTTGATTATCTTTCATTTGATATGCAACAACGCCATGTTCTAGAAAGTTTGATTTCTGCACTTAATAACCCCATCCAACTTATTTTTTGAGGACAGGAATCTGATATTTGAAATGTACACGTTACGACCTTTCATTTGAAATACAACAACCTTACCTTAAAAGAAAATTATATTTTTTGCACTCAATGACCCCAACCAACCCATTTTTTGGGGACGTCAATTTGATATTTGAAATGTACGCTTTATGGACTTTCATTTGATATGCGACAACCTAACCATCTGAGAAGTTTTAATTTTTTGCACTAAATGACCCCACCCTTCCCCCTGGGATGAAAAGGGGGTTTTACATTTTCATTTTTGAGTAGAGCTCGTTAAGACCTTCAATTTGATATATCAAATGACCCCATTTGGCAAAGTGCCAAAAATGATGCAATATCAATTATATAAATAGAACTTATGAAACTTACAAAGTCAATGCAAAACATGAAAATTTCAAATTGATTTTTTGGTTTTTTTTTTCATTGAATGTTTTTGGTATTTGGTCAAACATATAACCATGTTAAACTCTTCAATTTCTTATAATTTCAGGTGGTTACCTGTTGTTGATTCAGAAATACATGCCTCCCCTCGCAAAATTTCAAAGTGCATTATCTCTTAAACGACAACAGGTATCTCAAATTTGTTAAAAGAAAAATGATCTACAGTAAAAGGACAACATTTTAGAAAAAAAATTGGACAATTCCAAAGTTCATCAAGGTCACAATGAATTATCAAATATATGATGCAATATCAAACTTGAGAACCGGACGTCGTAGAGACATGGGACTACCACCATTCAACTCAAGACCACTTGACCTTTCAAATGTCACAAGGTCAAGGTCATAGTACACTCTGAAGGTCAAGGTTAAATTTCATCATGACCTGACATTGACCTCAAATTGAAGGCCTTGAATTACTGATCATCTTTGCAGTTTATAGTAGGTTGATATCTGTTACCTTTTAAAAGATATACATATGTTACTATAGTTTTAAGAATTATGTTAATGTAACTTTTGAACAGACGGTCGGACATTTTTGAGCTTAATGTATAAAATGTAGAGCTCGTCGAGAGGAACATTTTATACACAGTATGTATGCAGCAAACTCTTATCGTTTTCTTAATATGCAAGCTTGAAATTGCAGCGTAAATTTTTTTTGCACTCTGTGACCTTTGACCTTGGGTGCAAATTGAAGGTCACATGAACTTAAGATTATTGGTGTAGGTCCCAAGTCTCTACGACTTACGGTTCTCGAAATACAATTTTTCAAAAATTGTGTATATTTTTTTAAGAGAAATAACTCCTTATAAGGGTCAATAACAAAATTATTTTATATGTTCATTAACATTGCCATCAGTTCCTGTATATGTTGCCGTTTTCAAATCGATTCTATCTCTAATACTTTTTGAGAAAAATGCAAAGGAAAGAAATCGCTTCAAGGGGATATAACTCGCATAGGGGATGATGAAATCCTATGCAGCCTCATATGGTAGTACATCATGATGATATCAACCTATTGTCAAAATAAGGTCATGATATCTTCAAAAACAACGAAGGGGGGCCATGTTGAAAAAATCCAATAAAAGGGGGATAACTTCTACAGGGGATGATGAAATCCTTAACAGGGTCATGTGGTAATACTTCATGATGATGTCTATCGATGGTCCATATTTGGTCTTGATAACTTTAACAGAAACGGGGGGAGGGCATTCCCAAAAAAATGTTGGAAGAAAAAAAAGAAAAAAAAAAAAAAAAAAAAAAAAGAAAAAGAAAAAAAAAAAAAAAAAGAAAAAAAAAAAACATTAGAAAAACAATAAGGTCTTTCCTAACGGAGTGGAAAGACCTTAAAAACATTAGAAAAACAATAAGGTCTTTCCTAACGGAGTGGAAAGACCTTAATAATTCAAAGTATCAGCAAACAGGAAGTAGGTATCTGATTGATTTTGAAAAGTGTTAACATATTACATTTCTTCAATCAAGCTGGTGACTACATATGAAGTCATTCTGTTCTGTAGTTTCTGAGAAAAGTGTGATGAAAACATTTCGGACTGGCTAATGGATAAGGTGATTGGTAGAGTGGGGTTATAATTCTTCTAGTCCTATTATCTATGAAAGGACAGTTTATTTCCATAGCTTGAACTCAATAAGCACTCCAATAATATTTATAATTTATATCTTTGCTTTGGATCAGACACCTACACTCCATACATGGACTTGGGATACCTAAACAAATGGCTATATTCTAAAGTGAAAACTTAACATGTAACTATTATGACATTGTCTATGTTTTCATAGCAACAGTGACAAGACAACTGCTTGGCAATAAGCCAATACTCTTTCATTCTTTCACTACTGACTACATTATCACTTGCTATGAACCATGTGATTCAATGGCAGTTTTTATATGACTTTTAATGTCCAACCAAAACAAGTTATGCAAGAACTCTTTGAAGATTAGTTGTTTCCAACAATAGCATAGATGGAGATCAAATTAAATATTGATATAATTCATTTATAATAAATATAAAATAAGAATTTGCAATGAGACAAGCATCCATAAAGACTGAAGGACAAAGATGTGAGATTGTCTGTAATTTTCAATCCAGGTTTTCCAATGCAAATCTGATAAACTTCAGACATGAAAGAAAAAGTTATAAAAGATAAAAGCTTATTTTTTTTCCCATTTTCAACAAAAGACATGCTGGATTTGTAATGTCTGGCTGAAGTCTTATTTCAGACAAAAGACATCAAAGTACATAGAATGTATGAATAATATATACAAGTCTGATGAAATTTGATTACCAACAGATATGTCCACTTTACAGCAATCAGAACTAATTATACCCTAATGGTATTATCAATTAACATAATGGCTAGAAAATGACATTCGTTTATCTTATGATTCACTGTCATACAGTTTCACTTATTGTCAGATATCATGTGTTTTTATTTTGTTCAGCACTTAATCTTTTTTTTTATATATACTAGTAATAAATTTCTAGGAGACTATAAATAACAGCTGGATGTCAGCACTGCTATATTTGTACATCTTCCCATTGCAACTATCATGGTGGACACTATTTAGGTAGAGCAAGCCAGAATACCTGGAGAGAACCACCAACCTTCTGCTAAGGAAAACTGACAATCCTAAGGGTCAGAGTCAAACACACCTTGCCAGAAGCAGGGTTCAAACTCATAACCTTCAATGTTTACAGGCTAGTGATTACTGTAGACTAACTACTTAGACCACTTGACCACTTGGCCATGAACAATCATCTGAACAAGTTTTCTGTGAATATGCTATATTTGTGATAGCAATGAGCCCAAAGTGTTTTGGTCTGTGTGTCTATTTGTATATCCTTGTAATGTTTCCTGATAAACAAGTTAATTTGGTGTATAGATATTAGATTAATTAACTTGAGCTAATTTGGTCAGTGAGTCCATTTGTAAGTCCTTTTAGTTTTTGCTGATACATTTAGGTAATTTGATGTGTAGATGTCAGGTTATTTTAATAGCCTGAGCTTGCTTTCAGTAACTGGGAGCATATTTGATACATGACCATGACATTGTTTATTGTTTTACTTTTACCTATGTTTATATTGTCTATTAAATTGTATCATAGGTAAAAGGATGTTTTACTGAACAGATTTGTATTGTACATTCTTCTATGTACTAGATGTAAGAAGATGTGGTATGAGTGCCAATGAGACAACTCTCCATCCAAGTCACAATTTGTAAAAGTAAACCATTATAGGTCAAAGTACGCCTTCAACACGGAGCCTTGGCTCATACTGAACAGCAAGCTATAAAGGGCCCCAAAAATGACAAGTGTAAAACCATTCAAACAGGAGCAGGTTTGAGTGTTACAAAAACTAGTTTAACCTTGCCACCTATTCATGGCACCTCATAACTGTTTGTCTTCAGTCAAATTTAAAAGTATTTTACTGTTATGGAATTTGACTTTAATGGCATATCTTTTAATAGTCTCTGTTAAATTCATTCAAGACTTTTAGAGATTTAGTGCTTGACCCCTAAGTGTTTGATTATTTAAACAGCTGGGTTGCTGTCTCATTGATGTCATACACCATATCTCCTTTTATTCATATATCAACTTGCATCATCATCATCCATAAATATGATAATAAATCCCAGATGTGAAAAATACAAAATATGTAATTATAAAATTATAAAAAAAAAGAGGACACCTGCATTTTGTTGTACTGTGATAATAGCTAAACATTTGGTTAACATTGAGGTTAAATGTAATTTGATTTGAAACCCATGTGCTGTACTAGGAAACTTAATCCATGAATACACTAATATGGGGTGGTCTAACCTATTATTGGGGCATAACAAGTTGAATGTGGGGTCATTGGACCTAGATTTCTTGTTTCAAAGTTTTTCGTTATATTACACCTCTTTCTTGATTGATAGTTTGATTTCGTTATATTACACCTCTTTCTTGATTGATTTTGATTGATTGATTGATGTTTAACACCACTTTCAGCACACTCGGCTACATTGTGGCTGCTAGTTTTTATTGATTGGGGAAGCCAGAGTACCAAGAGAACCCATTTCATGAATGAACCTATTTTCCTCAAAGAAACATACATGCAAGTAGTTACAGAAACTTTTCTTTCCATTTTTCTGCTCACCTTTTTTAACTTTCCCAGAGCACCAGCAGGAAATTCTTTCTTGTACATTTTCTTCAGTCGTCTCATCTCTGGTTTTGTCATGCCTATGTCATTTAAGTCTTCTTCCTCCACATACTTTAATTGGTGAATGGCATTTATCTTCAGTTGGTCCTTCAGGGCTTGGTAGTAATGGTCCAACTCCGCCTCCTCCATAAACTCAAGGAGGCTCTTCTCTGTCGTCATGGTGATATGATATCACCTGACCTGAAATAAGATATTTATTTGTTACTTTTTTTTAATCTTGAGCAAGGAAACAAAAACAAAAAGATTTCATATCAAATTAAGTAGTGATTGACCCTTCAATGTATTTGATCATTGGATTGTAGCTTCTTCCGATGTTTCTTTTACTTTAGTAATGTTGTATTCTGTATTTTTCTTTTCTTAATCTATTATGTCCAGAATTTTCCTTTTTCCCATTATGTCCTTTCTTTTTCTTTGTAATTAATCTTTATTTTCAATTATTTTTGGGGAAAAGTCGATTATCCTAAAAATTTTAAATCCTAATTGGAATAATTTGCCACTTGGTGTATTTTTGGCATTCACCAATAGGTTAATAATCCTATTATCATTTTTGGACAAAAGAATATGTAAGAAAGAAGGTCTTTGAATACAGGAACTCCTAGGGTGTGAAACCCAGTCAGCTTGAGAGGGTAAACTGCTAAATGAAAAAGATGAATATTGTTTTAATACATCATGACTCCTCTTATCCACCTAAAACACTTAAATTTAGGGTTGTGGTCTTTTACTATCAGATTTTTGAAACTTTGATAACTTTTCTTTGAATTAAGTGATTGTTATTTTGACAAGAAAAATATTTGAAAACAGTTTTACACCCAATGCTAATATTAGATTAAACTTCATGGCAACATTTCAATTTGTTGCTGATCCTATCTACAAAGCTATTCCATGTTTTTCACAGATTGTAGTACAGACATCCTTCTGACAGAAGTTCTACAATCAGCATATGTGTACAGTCATCATTACATGAATTTCATTGGCTCTGAGTTAATATTCAAATTCCGACTTTTTCTGAAAATTATTAAACTGAAAATAATATTCAAACAAATCCAGACACAATAGTCGTTTGAAGAACACAGGTAAAATGTGATTCTCATCATACAAAATGACAACAAACTAGGACAGTTGTAACTATAACCAATAATCCATTCTCTAGGATGGCTACATCAACCTCTCCAGGACAAGGTCACAATAATCCAGTCACTTTACTCCCCTCACAAGAATGACTCCATTAACCTCACGAGGACAAAGTCGCAATAATCCACTCACTTAACTCGCCTCAAAAAGATGACTCCATTAACCTCTCAAGGACAAGGTCGCAATAATCCAGTCACTTTACTCCCCTCATAAAGATGACTGCATTAACCTCTCAAGGACAAGGTCACAACAATCCATTCATTTTACTCCCCTCACTAGGATGACTCCATTAACCTCTTGATGTCAAGGTCATAACTATCTAGTTACTATACTCCCTTCACTAAGATGACTCCATTAACCTCTCAAGGTCAAGGTCATAACAATGCAGTCACTATACTCCCCTCATTAGGATGGCTCCATTAACCTATCAAGGACAAGGTCATAACAATCCAGTCACTTTACCCTCCCTCACTAGGATGACTCTTTTAACCTCTTGATGTCAAGGTCATAACAATCCAAACACTATACTCCCATCATTAAGATGACCCCATTAACCTCCCAAGGTCAAAGTCATAACAATCCAGTCACTATACTCCCCTCACTAGGATGACTCCATTGACCTCTCAAGGACAAGGTGAACAAAGGGACTGACAATACTTAAGATCTGGTTACTAATGCAATCCTGTTTATATCAAAATAGCCTGAATTAAAGAAACTGTATCCCTGGTTCTATTTTGCTTTTTCTGTTTTTGTATAAACTGATTTTAATCAGATAGTTAATCCCAAATGAATGCTATGTTATCAGAAGGTTAAACTGGCAATCCACCTGTTGAACATTTCTATTTCTGATAAAAACAGGTGATACAAATAGTCAAAGAAATTTCTTATCTGTTATGTTTAGATTAATAGGAAACTTCTAATGTCTAGAAGTATCTACCCAAAAACTGTTTGTAAGACCACTTCCTCTTATTATAAATTTAACAAGCTGATGTGCCAAAAAAAATCCTTTTTATCTGAAATTGTTTCTTTTTACAAAAATAAAAAATTATTAGTGAGAACAGTTGTTGTATTGAAAATCATTATTTTAGGGTGCACTCTATTCATATTATCTTTCGTAATCTTCAAATTATTTTTTTTTAGTTAGCATCTATGACCTTTTATCTTCTATTTCTTATTAGTTCTTCAAAAGAAAAGTCAATAATAAATCAAATCTGAAGGTTTGGAAAGTGTGTAGACAGGGATGAACAGAGATTTCAGTGGACCATAATAGAAGGGGGAACAACCAGGCCCCTGCCCCTGCCCCCCCCCCCTTTCCCCCACTGAATTTTGACTTCCAATTTAAAGGTATTTTGGCTACAAATGAAATTTCAGCATTGCAATATGTCATCTCAGAACCCCTGTTTATGCTAAGCTTCTCTATGTACAGGGTGTCACGACTCTACCAAAATGAGGCATAACAACCTAACACGGCTATGTAATCATATATCTACTACGATAAAATAGACTTCACTTTAGCATGGGTCTAACTGCTGGATGAAGAAATACAGGTAAAGATATTTCTACACCCAAGTCAATACATGTATCACTCAAAACATCCCTTCAGGTTTTTACTTTAAAATAAGCAATATGAACTTCAAAGCCTAACTGTTTAAACCTTTAAAGTTACTGAGAAAATTAGCTGAATCTCCCAATATAACATACAAGTCTGACACAAAAAGCAGTTCGCATGTATTGATAGTTTATAAGCTACTACAAATTAAGGAATTGGCTCGTTCTAATCATCAACTAAGATCATCTATCATCATGTATACATTTTTTCTCTGGTCTTCTAATTAATATTTAGTTAATTACTAAGGGGAGGTTACTCTATATGTGTTGATAATTTATGCCATCTGCTTTGAATGTATGTAAGGATTATTTTTCGGCTTTTTGATGTAATTTGTTTTCTACATTTTTCTCTGTGTAGTAACTTATCACTTATGAGCAAGATGGGAGTTCAATCTGTCAAGATTATGATTCAGTTAATTCTTCATGCCAACATTTCATTTTGATTACATATTCCATATGTAAATTTTTATTTACAAAAGATCCCCATTCTATATCTGTTGCAACTAAAAACAAAGTACACTGTGGGACTCCTAGACGTAAGGATGGTAGCCTACAGGCTATGAAATTCAGAGAAATTCCCAATATTTCCAATTTATTCTTTCATTAAACACTTACAAAAACACTTTAAAAACCTCCATTACACACTTGAAATTGGAAAAATATTTGCTGAAGATGTTCTATAATCAATAATACGAGGAATTCCCATTCAAAATATATCACTCCTTTTTAACTTATTTTCAAACATGATTAAATCGATCAAACTTATTCAACTTTAATTGATTTTATTCATAGTTGACTTATTTTCAGTAAAAACAATAGACAGGTTATATAGATAGTACAAGAAATAAATTATCAATGGTAAAATTTGGTCCAAAAACTATTGTGATGACATATTTTTTACTGATATTACAGATATTTAACCAGTCAAATCTACAATATTTCATATTTAATATATATGTATATCATGCCTTGAATATTAATGAATTGTAAGTCATAGTGATTTTAACGATTGTGAATGAAAACTTGGCACTTGAGAATGTTATCCTACTTCCTCTCTCAGAAGCACTTCAACTTTTTAAGTACCCAAACTTCAGTAATCTCTCATTGATTTCAGCTTAACATTTCACACTATTGATACTTTAACCCAATTTTCTGTTCTATTTCCAAAGGGACATACTGTCTGTAACTTTATATCTTACAGTGTATATCTATTACATATATGGCAAGGCATAATAATCAAATCACACTTTATGTGCTGGTCATATATGGGGAATCTAGTTCATGGTTGTTACTGTCTATTGATGCTCTTTGTTTGTTACTATCAAGGGGGAATAAAAAAACATATTAATGCAGAGGAAAAATAAGTAATACCATTACCAAGGGTAAAAAGACAAAAAGAAGTCTGAAAAACCCACACTACTTCGTTGTTTAGACTGAGTTTTTAGACATTATGAGGTTCTTTTCAATAACTGAAGGTGGTATATTAGCTATAGTGTAGATGTAATTTTTTATTAACTTATGCTCTTGGGTACCTTACAATCCTTAAGCCAATCAACTTCTCCGTCCATATAAATAATTTACCTACATCTTCTCAAGCACTAGAATTAAAGTCGTAGTAGTCTCTTTACATCTATACAGTACGTTACTTTTTGTATTGTTTGATAAAACTTGACACCAACCACTTGACAAATGTAACTATACCCTATAATTTTGTCCCACTCCCATCCTCTCAAGTCAAAAATGATCATCATTACAAACTACAATAAGAAGATCAACTTTCAAACAGAATCCAACATGTTCTATAAAACTTAAATGTCCTTTTATGGGATTGATAGTTGACCACAAGGAATGGTGCACCAAAGATGCATGACTATTTTAATGTGTTTTGTCACAAAAATCAGACGTTCTGCATAAGTTGAACCATTTAACAGTATGTAAAACACCTAATTAATATTCATAAAAAAAACAGATTTGAACTGTTTGCACTTAATTTTAATTCATGTGCAACCTAATTTATATATCTTATATGATGAGAATAAAGAAGAAATTGTTTTGACACACCAGCTGAAAACATAGTATTTGTTAAAAAGAATCACTAAAACCTCAATCTAGTCATCTAAAGAGGAATCATCACAGGTATGTTGTACTAAACCAGTACACATCAGGAAACCAGCTTTTTTATTTATAGAAATCAGAATTTTGAGCATAAAAATTCAAATTAATTGGTACAAATTTAAATTCTTTTATTTCAAACCATAGGGTCCAAAATGGACCAATAGAATATAAGACAATAAAAAAAAGAATGTGTTCATAGAACACGGATGCCCCACTCGCACTATCATTTTTCTATGTTCAATGGACCGTGAAATTGGGGTCAAAACTCTAATTTGGCATTAAAATTAGAAAAATCATATCATAGGAAACATGTGTACTAAGTTTCA